AAAACTGGTGGCTCCTGCCATACCTAAAGCATCTCTTGGCTCCTGATGCTTCCTCGAATTGCAAAGGGAAGGAGCAGGAGGCTCAGTCCAGGTGTCACCTGCCCTTTGCAGCTCCACGGGCAGGGTTTCAGTCGCCCTGTGTTTGAGTTGGAGAGACTGGGAGACGTGCAAGGGTAATAATGAGGATAAAGCATTTCTCTTTATTATGGTCAGTTACCGCTAATCTCCTCTTAGGACTTTAACAGGGATTTATAGGGTTTCATTTGTGTTTTAGGTTTGGGGATAATTAAGTACCTTTCTGCTGCACAGAGGAAATGGAGAGAGAATTGGCTCAAAGCTAAAACAAGATTCCTGTACTAGCGCATACATTAAACTTCCTTTTATTTGGTTGTCACCCCAATAGGAATGATTAGTGGGTTGTAAAGAAAGAAAATGTATTGCATTACATCTATTAAAGCATGTTTTATATGTAACAGTAATTAAAATATAATTGAAATCCTGAGTTCTTCTAATTATTGGCTTTACATAATGCATAGTTAAAGAGTGAGCATCTATAAATGTGTCCTTTTTACACATCCAGAAATGGTTTGCTGGCAGCATTTTAATTAAAGATGGATTAGTTAAAACGCAGTTTAATCATTCTGTCATCAAAGGATTTAGACCTCATTAATTAGCTGTTGATAAATAGGTTTAAACTACAAAAAATTTAATTTAAAATATGCCAGTTGAGATCTAGAATTATTAGCGCTGGAAACGGAGCAAGGAGCCTAAGAAAAATTCATGCCATCTCTTCCTCTAGTATTAGATTAAGTGGGAGACTCAGCCCAGTGCAGGACTCGGGTCTGCCTTGTTACTGTTGGACGTGACTCCACGTGGGCTTCAGAGGTGGTGCAGGAGGAAAGCAGAGACCCCTGTTCATGATGGTTGGTTGTGGTGTGGCCGTGGGGTCTCATCGCCATGTTGTTTGTGGAGCAGTAAGTTCTGTTCTAAAGAATTTTGTCTCCGAGGTAGAGAAGAAACCTTTCCTCATGTGCTCATAAGGCTCATTTTTATGTTCTGGTACGAACTTGTAATTCACCATTTATTCATTAATAGTCAACTGGATTATTTCTCCTACTCATCTCCCCTCCCCTTCTTTACTCTTTCCCAATGAAGACCTGACTCTTTTTGTATTTAACCAACCTTGGGTGCGTTTTGCAACACTGCAGTGTTGTATGGTAAACTAAATGGAAATTGGGTTAGATAAACTAAGCCTTAAAGCATCTGGATGCCCATGGAAAATAAATGCCACTCTCAAAGTGAATTGGCTACAGCAGAGAAATGCAGCGTGTTGGAGACCCGCAGGGTCCCGGTGGGGGGTTAGAGGCTCCCCCCCTCCCTGCCCAGCGCGGGGCTGGTGCTCTCTGCTCCCTCCTGCCAGCCCAGTCGGTGCTGGGGAGAAATACTTGAAATATCATGGGCAAATAATATTTACTGTGGCTTAACGTTTCGGTGTGATTTGCGCTTTATAGCTTTCTCAGGTGAAGATCCTTTTATGTCTAAATGATCACAGCAGTGGCTTTCAGTCCCGGTATAAATAGAGAGATCAGCTTGGGAAATTTGGCCTTTTGTGAATTCTTTAAAAAAGCTTTGAGTTTTAGCCTGTCTCATGGCTATGCTTGATATTTACACCATACAAAAGCATAAGGGCATGTTCTAGTTGTAATTCAGAAGTAATTTGGTGCAGAGATAACTAATAGATATTCGTCTACATCTTCCAACTGTACTCAAAAAAAAAAAGAAGAAACTACAGCAAATCCTCCAAGTTCTGTACAGAACTCCCTTAAGCTGCTGGGGTTTCCAATTTATAGTTCAAACCCACCTGCTTGCATTTCAAGGCAAGTCTCAAGGGCTGTGTTCAAAGAATACTATTTTTGAAGTGTGTAAAGGTTTCTTTTTATTAGGAGGCAACTTTCTCAAAGGTGCACTGAGGATGTTATGGTGGATCTGAAGCATCCTCAAACCAGGGAGTGAGCCAGTGTGAAAATGTTTGTATATAAATGTATTTTCAATATAAAGACCTTCATGAGGTGTTGACCCATGAGTGTCCTTGACTGCCCCGTACAGAGTGTGTGTCACAAGGAGGTTGTGTGTCTGGCAGCAGGTCCCTGACACAGAGACCAGCGCTGGGGTTCCCAAAGGTGTCCCTGGGGTGGCTCCAGTGTCTGGCAGGGACGGCCGGGGTTATTTGGTGGCTGTGGTTCCTCCTCTGTGGGAAGCCCTGGCCCTGCCAGCTCCAAGGCTTGTGTGTGTCTGACACACACACACACTGCAGCACCGACCCGTCCCCACCACCAAGGCAGCACCTGTGTGATCCCTCCAGGGACACGCTGCATAAAACATGACGGGAGGCTTCGAAACCCCCAAAGGAGAGGAGAAAGAGGGGCTTGGCTGCGGTGTCTGCGTTGGCTGCATTTAGAGCTCACGGCAGAGCATCCAGCACCAACATAAAGCTGCCTAAAGCACACATCTCCGCCAGGCAGGGCGACCAGGGGAGGCTCAGGGTGCCCTGTGTGCAGTGCCAGGTTAAATGATATTCCATCCCACTGTTTCAGACTTTATACTTCCACAGCCCCCTTTGGGACACAGATTCCTGCAGCGAGCAGTGAAGTGCTGGGGTGAAGAGTCTGCCTTGACTTCAGTGGAACCAGGATTTTAACTGCAGAGTTCTGGCAGCTTCTCTAATTCTATATAGACGTTTTTCAGCTTAGAGAAGGCAGCATTTGCCATTAGAGGAATATGCAATCCTTCGTGTATGTGTGACATGTTACACAAGGATGGTGGCTGGCTCTGATAGAAATGTGCGGGGTTTTCTTTTCCAACTGCTTGAACGTGTTTCTAGTGAGTCATGGCCCCAAAAAGTAAATTCAAAGAAGTGATGTGAGTGGTTTTACTAGTGCAAAACTCGCTGCCTGGCAAAGTTGTACTGTCTTCAACTCAGTCACCTAAACAGCCACTTTTTATTTACTCTTAAAAGAAAGTCCATAATGTTTGATGGAACAATCAGGTTCCTCTTTTAGAAAACAGAAACAAAGTTGAGGCAACAGCTGGATCATATGAAGCATGCCTTCATTTATTTACTGCTTTTTACTGCTAATCGGGGAGTACTGCAAAAGGTGAATACTATTACTCAGCTGCACAGTTTCATCTAAATTGCAGCCATGAATATGTGATCAGTTGTCACATGGAAAAATAAACCCTGTATCCCCACATCAGTGATGGAGAGATGTTTATAACCTTCATTATTTCATTTTTAAAGCTCTTTAGAAGGTTACTGAAAGTTGCTGTCTGGAGGAGATGGTTTATTCAATCATTTAAGGTGAAGGATCTATAAAATACACCGAAAGTTGCTTGCTAAAATGTGACTGTAGGTACATAACAGTCCGATGTGTGATGGTGCACAGTGTGGTGTCTCGGAGCACGCGGTGGGTGAGCAGGGCAGGAGAGGTCCCCCCAAACTGCCTTCCCCTGGGAAACATCCATTCCATGAAGCCCCGGGTGCGTGGGACCCAGGGGTGGTTCGGGTGATGAGTCCCTTAGCTCGGTGCAGTGATACCTCTGCTGCCCTCTCACCGTGGCAGCGTTTCTCCTCGGCTGCTCTCTCATTTGACCTGCTCTTTGCCACTGCTGGTTTCTGGGCAATACAAAGTTAGGATTTCTACCGTGTAAAACCACAGCATTTTGAGCATAAAAGGCATCTTGCAACCTGGGTCTCCCTGCTAAGGCTCTAAATGCAGGCCTTTTCCTGAAGTGATTAATTTGTATGTTTTGTTTTGTTTCTCTTTAAATACTGTCATTTTGTGCAATTTTAAAATCTGGTTTGGATTTACGAGCGTGTAATATCTTTAATATCCTTCAAAGAATTTGAATTGTGTTCTCTGGATTGCTGCTGCAGAAGGACAAAATCACAGCATCTCTATTCTTCGAAGAGCACCATTATCACTCTGTGTTAATGAAATGATTTCAGAATTACAAGAAATGAGTTTTTGAAATTAATTCAGTATTAAAGGGAATTGGATTGTAATTAGAGCGTATTTCAAAAAGAATAAAAGGATCCATGATATGTGCTTAGCTCTTAAAGCACCTAATCCTATATTAATTGTGCTTTGGGCACATCTGCCCTCATGTGAAGGGGACTTTGGCAGCGGAGATGAAAATGCTGTTAATTTTTAGGCCAGAGAGCTCCTCCAGCAGGACGGCGGAGCAAGGGGAGCGCAGCCAGGGAGCTGGGGGCTGCTCTCCCTTCCCTCCCGTCCCTCACACACACACCAGCTCAGTGTTGGGTTAAATGTGCTTCATCAGTTGCTGAGGACCCAGCCTGATGTTGGGCAGGGGAAGATCAGAGAGGTGTTTAGGTACCATCATCTGAAGCTGGGTAGGCTCCCCTTCTCTGTGTGTGGTGCAGGTGAGCAGACATGAGAGCACCCGCTCCACCACGGGCCTGGATGGGAGAGGTGTCTTGTCCAGCTGCAGCAGAGGGTGCCCGTGAGGGGGTGTGGATCAGGGAGCTTCTCCTGAAACCACTTGGAAGGAGAGCTTTGTCCTCTCCGGCAAACTCCCTCCCCGTGAAGGGCTGGTTGGACTTCCCTACTGCTGAACCCCCGTGCCACAGGCTGAGGGCAGGGGGTTGGAAACAAGGATCGTGGATGTGATGGACCTGAAATGCAGCGAGAAGTGGTTTTCTCATCTCAGCTTCGCAGAGTGTGGCCAGTTTTGGCAGTTACCTGTCACCTTTGTCCTGTGCCCAGATGGACTGCCTTTTGCTGACAGTCCTTCCCTGTCTGGGTGGGTTGCTGAGGAGCACAGGTTGCCCTTTGACGTTCCAGGGCTGCGCGTGAGCCCCTTCCCCACCGCGGAGCTGGTTGCTGTCGGTGCAGGACCAGCTGCAGGGACAAGGCTTCTGTCCCCGTCTGGGGGTGGTTTGGGACCTACCACTAATGAGCACCTCTCTGTCTTTGCAGCCTGTTCCAGCACTACTGCTACACGCGGGGCGGCATGCGGCACACCTCCTACACCTGCATCTGCGGCAGGTAAGCACTCCTGCACCCACCCCTGCAGCCTTCGGGGTCCAGTTTCCCACTGGGTATTTGTGGAATTGTTCCTTTCGTGCACGTGATGTGTTCACCAGTGCTGCCAGAGCCAGTTCTGAACCATTTCCTCTGGAAAAGCCACAGAAAGGTGGCTGGGGCTGTGTCTTAAAGAAATAACTGGGTTACAGCTTCTGCTACGCTCCAGAGATTCCCCAGTGGCTACTGCTGCTGCCAGGATCGTGTTCATGCTCACATCTGTGCTGCAACTGGCTTTTTTATTAAATGGCATTATGGAGAAGGGCTTTAGAGCTATTCTTTGTTGCTCAAAAATACTCTCTTTGAAATACACCTTAAGTATTTCATATCGTTCTCAGAATTCTTTGACTCAAACGTTAAGGTGCGATTAAATTAATCTTTTTGGAATTTTTTTGCTCTCTTTTTCTTACTGAACAGCTAGTGTTGAAGGTATTGTATTTGGCAAAGTATTGTAAAAGTTCTCCCTGCAGTTGTAGAAATGCACATCTTTAATTTCAAGAGAATAGTGTAGGATCCATGCTGAAGGACAGCTGTGTGCTTTGTGCAGAGATTCATCTCATTTAGTCAGTGGAATTAATCTAATCAGAGATATACGACAGTTCGGTGAGGCATCTATGTTGGTATATATGTTCCACTTATTCCACAGACACTTGGCCTACACTGAAGTCACATACACTCATAAAACATAATTTTGAAGTTAGTGACAATGACGTTCTGTTGCTTTGGAGTAATAAGGACGATTAGCGTCTTTCTTTCTTTCTGCTGTTTACTCAATTGCTTATTTGTAAATGCAATATTCCAATTTATATGCAAAATTGCAGTAGGAACATGAGCAGTTTTATGGCAAATCGTGCATCTAAACTGCCTGAAAAATTTCCTGGATTAAGTACCATCCTGTAACACGAGAATTAACATCCCGCTGCAATGGGGCTCCATCTCGGTGGCATCATCCCAGGCTGTGAGGGCACGGGCAGGTTGTGTCTGCGTGTGGTGTTTCCCCTGCACCCACAGCCACTCGTGCTCGGGGCTGTGCCCGGGAGCACCAGGGCTCTGCCAAACCCATGGAGCCCCCTGCCCGGGGCGGCCTCGTGGGACAGACCCGTCGCCCCGCGGCACTGACAGGAACCACCACTGCAGCTGAAAGTGCTGACTTACCTAAGATAGAACACAAAGGCCTTTGTCCCTAAATTGCTGTATTCTAGGATTGATGAAGCAAGAATGAATGATATTAACAGTTTTAAGCTAGGTCCTAATAAAACGAATGTAAGTAGATCTATTTGATGAATTCAATTAACATAATAATGCAAAAATAATAGGAATATTTTATTACTGTGAAAATGTCATGCATTGTAAATATTACACTTAACTACATTTATGATTAAAAATAGCTTTTGCAATTAGGATTTTTGAATAGCTATGTTTTATTCTGTTCATGCTGAGTTTTGTTGTTTTCCTGACACTTAAAACTGGTATTTTGACAGGATATTTCTTTCTGAGATGACAGGCCTGATAACAATTTCGGTAGAAGAGAATCATGGTTTTACATAAACCCCAAGATGGTTATTCAGATGTCAGGAGAGCTGCTCCCTGGGCTGGACTCAGGGGTGATCAATAGCCATCAGTGCTGGGTTTCCCTACAGAAATAGATCCCTGGGTTCAGATGAGCGCGTGCGTGCGTGCTGTCCCCATCCGGTGTCACAGCCTTCAGGACACAGGAGATGAAGTTTCTTCTCCCGCTTTATCCCTGTTTTTAGAGGGAGATAAGGAATAGTATCTGCAGCTGCAATCCTGACAAACTGCTGGGAAGCAGTTCTCACACTCAAAAGTGTGGTGCTTACTGTCTCTGGATACACTGATGTTTGCGATGTCACGCGTTTACCGTGTTCCTTCTCGTGTTGTGCATGTTAATGGTTCTTCTGCCCCTAATGTACTGAATTTTCTTTTCACCTCTCAGTGGGGAGAACTCCTCTGTCCTGCACTATGGCCACGCCGGAGCCCCCAACGATAAGACTATTGAGGATGGAGACCTGTGGTGAGTAAAGGATTAGAGTTTGTTTGGTATTTTTGTTACACTGCTGCTGTTTCCATACGTGCACTCTATGTGCTCTTGGACTTCGTTAGTGAAATGGTGACTGCGTAGTGATGAATGTCCAGATCTTTGATGCAGCGTGTGATGCTGTGTGCCAGAGTGGTCAGGTCTCTTCTAGAGGCCCTCTGTAGCTGCGTCTCAAGTTGAAAGTGCCCAAAGCACTTAGAATTTAGTATAAGAAATCTAAGTAGAAGGGCAGCTGCAGAACTCAGCACCTGTGGTTGCTGGGGACACTCAGCTCCAAAGCTGGGATCTGGTGATGGGAGAGCCCTGGCTGCTCCTGAAGAACAGCACCAAATTGTAGGGTGCAGTGGTGCTGGGCTGGGTGGCTCTGTTAGAGACCGTGTGTTTGGCTTACAATTAAGCTTTTTAATAGCTACTGGGAGCCCTCTGTTGGATAATCTTGGGAAGCCCTGAATGTAGGGAAAATATGGCTTTACTTTTGGTAGATGTCATTTCAGGGTTATTTCTGCTTTTGCCAGTAGTTTGGTATAAATCTAATTTAACGATTCCTATACTTGTATGTAATAGAATTGGAGATTGGGTACTTGGTATGATTCTTATTAAATTATTCAAGTAGAATTTTATGTCTTTTTCTTAATGTTATTTAGTGGATATGAATAACATTCATGAGTTTTGTAGAAATGTGCTGCTCAGGTTTTATGCACAGAGTGCAGTGCAGTGGCAGTAAATAAGTCAACAAAGCACCTGAATATTAGAAAAAATACATTTGGAAGACTGATGCTTTGTTGCTTTGAAACGCTGAGGGGCATGCGTCGTTTGCTCTTTTAGAAATGTAAGTTACAAGGATTTGGTGGTAGCGACAGGAGATTATAGGCAAAAGTACTATTGCCTTTATAATTTTTTTTAAAGACTGTTATTCTGACTTCCTCAAAAACTGTGGCAGGTTTAGAACAGGCCGTTTTTATGATGTTCATTTTTCAAAATTAATCTACATCAAATGGGTTTATTATTTCTGTAAGAAACTGGTGTGGAATTCTGTCTCTGATACTGCACCCTGATCCACATTGTCAGAGGTGCAGCTTTGGCGCTGACAGATCTCAGTGCAAGGCAGGGACTGTGAAGAGAAACCCTGACACTGCTCCTTGATACAGACTGCCTGCTGTCATTCCCACTCCATGCAATATTAAAACCAAAATAGCTAACTAACACAAAGCATTGTGATCGACAGGGAGAGAAATCAATATTTTTAGGGAAGTTTAGGTATTCAGTAGATAACGTGCACTTAACAGATATTGATATTAAAAGTAAATATTGTATTAACAAGAAGTTGGTATTGTATATAAATGATGCAGGTGCTGAAATATCTACCTGGTCTGAACCAGAGCCTTTCCTGAGCAAGAGGCTGTTGTCCAGGGTCAGAGAGCTCCTGCAGGTCCCTGATGGGCTCACCACCCTGGGAACCACCCTGGGCTTTCCACCCCCTCACTCCCTAGTACCTTTAAATAAAACCTTCAGCTCAGAGTCTTGTGATCCACAACCTGCAGTGATGACATACAAATACTGATTTTCTTCTGTCGCCTAAAAAAACCCAACAAAAAGGTGTCCATCGAAGCAGATGGGGTGCAGTGGAGGGAGCCCAGGGCCAGGAAGCCTCTCTTCTCACCAACCTGGTTCCGTGGCTTGGTGTAGGAGCCACTGGGGTGCTGAGCCTCAAGTGTGTACTTTACATTTTGATTGTGAGAAGGCTTTCAGGAAGGCGGTAGTTCATTGTGTTCACTTTGCTGCCCAGTGGTGTGTGCCTTTGCGGGTTCCTGGGGTCGCCACGTGCCGACGGCTCGTCGGGAGCTGATTGTTTTATTGCAATTGATCAGCGGGGCCGTGGCGGCGGCTGGCGAACAGAAAATGCTTCTGTAGTCCTAAAATCAAGATTGATTCTTCATGATGGGTCTCACACTTAAATAATAGAAATGTGAGACAATAAGCCTGACCCCAGATGTCACCGAAATAGATGGGGCTATTACCCGAGATGGTTTCTGCAGGTGTCACGAGCTGCAGGTCTCGGTCTTTCCGTGGCGTCTGACAAATGCGTCTTGGTGAAAATCCAGCAGTTAGTGAGCAACCTCTATGGGCAGGTTCAGTGACCTTCAGGCCCTTGATGACACTGTTTGGGGGTTAGTTGGTCCCTTCTGGCTTTGCAAAGCACAGGAGATGGTCTGTTGTGGAGGAGCACTCTGTGTTTTCCCCGCTGTGACGTGCCCCCCCAGTCCCCGTGCTGCGGGAGCTCTGCCCGGGGCCTGGCACGGTCTCCTCTCCCCCGGCACGGCGGATGCTGGGTCTGACCCCCACACCCTGGGGACCACCAGTCCCCTCCCGAGGCAGCTCCTCCCCAGAGTGATGGCCAGAGAGAAATCTGTCAAGAGAACTGTGGTGAAGGCACGAATGAGGAAGTACAGCATCACCTGCTGCTGAAGTGCCGCGGACCTTGGAGACCATTAACCTTGCATTCACAGTGGGCCTATCTATTATTTATAAAATAAAACTAACTTCAGAAGTTGTAATGGCAGCAGGTTGGATGATCAGAGGGCATCGTTCATTTTATCTGATGGCTTCCTTCAGCACTGAGATCTCAGGGTGCTCCGTCGGTGGGAGCTCTGGGGGGAGCTCGGTGTCCCTGGGGAGGAAGGACCTTCCCTGCTGCAGAACCTCACCGCCGGTCCCACGGCCTCCTGCTGATGGCAATAAAACAGCTTCTACCTGCAGATTGTTTTATTGCATCCAGGTACCAGAATTTAAGCAGTAGGGAGGTTTTGGTAGTGTCACAAAATCAAACACATCCCGTTTGGTTCAGGGTCTGTGCTGGGTGTGTTACACGCGGTGGCTCCGGGAGCAGGGGCTGGTGTTTGCTGGCAGGTGACAGTGCTGGGGATGAGGAGGGCAGCCTGGTGTTGCAGAAGGATTATCAGAATACTTTAACTCCAAGGACTGTATTTGTTTCTATTTCTTTCCGTAGTCCCCCAGTGCAGATGGAAGGTGTGGGGTGATGCTGGCTGGAGGGGGCACTGGGAGAAGTGCCCTGTGGAAGGAGGTGCTGACTCCTCCAGGCTTTGGTGAGGGCTTGGACTGGCTTTGTTTCCTTCCATTTGGCACTTGGATCTACCTTTTAATAATTCTGTTATTATTATAACTTCTAGTGCTGCCAAAAGATCCACTTTAACTCCTAGCGCTCCTCCTCTTGTTATTCCAGCAGCTCTCCTCATCCTAGGGAACTTTTCTTGACAGCAACTACAGGTAGTTAAAAAAGGTTGTTCTGGGTGAAACAGAGAGGGGAGATGGAAGTGTTCGGGGGTTTTTATTTTTTAATTACTTGGAGGAGGCAAAGGAGAGTTTTCAGGTTCCTGGAGCTGTTGGTGACTCCGGGGTGTGTGGAGAACATGGCAGAAGAAAGTCACTTATTGTGAGAGCTGGTCAGGTGCAGCCGTGCCCAGTTATTCACGGAGGCTGAGCCTCCTACTAGATAAAAGAGAAGTCACTGTGCTAATTTTATTTCTTTGATCTAAGATTGTAATAGACAGTCTTCTACAATCAAAAGATTTGTCGTTTTCTATGTATGTTTCTCTTGTCTATATACACACACTGCGTATGCAGCATACGTACTGCACTGGCACCATTGTCGGCGTGGTTATCTCCATAGGATACAGCAGGATTTGTAGAAAATGCACTATTCTCTCTTTTGCAGGAATGAGTAAGTGTGTAATATAAAAGGACTTTTTATGAGTGCTGAGAGGCTGTCATTTGTTTCAGGAGAATATTGAGAAGACTTTGAATAAGTGAACTAAAAGACTTAGGTGAGCTTGCAGAAAGTGTACAGCAAAAAGCAGCAGAGGTTTGCTGTGACTGCTGCAGAATTGACCCGAGTTGTATCGCGGTTTAGGACAGCAACTGCGTTTGTCCAGGCGGGGGCAGTGTTGCCCCGAGCAGCAGGAGCTGGCCGTGTCTGTGCAGCAGCTGCTGGGGGGGAGCCCTCCCTCCGCCACCCCGACTGCTTCATCGCCTGCCATGGAACCGATTCATCCTACGGAACAAAATACTGCACTTATTACTTCTTGAAAGCACTGCTTTTAAGATCCTAGGATATTAATGTGTCAGATGTAAATGCTCAGCTATTTTATGTGGGTGAGACTAGTTATTTTCATTTGGCCTCCTGCGTTTTTTATGCATTTTGAAGTTTGGTGCTGTAATAATATGCAAAAATTATGGTTAGCTTTAACCTTTCAGTCTGCAGTTTTGAAACGACTTGTTGTTAGTTATGGTTTTGTTTCTAATAATAATACGAAGTACATTGCTGGTACTTACTGGGTAATTGCAAAATCAACTGGCTATCCATTTCTGAAATAATTCCTTTGGCTTGATTCCTCTGGTTTGATTAATATTTACTATTTTCATCAAGTGTAGGTATTTTTCCTTTTGTTGTGCCTATGGACTATATTAATTTTATGCTAATCTAGAAAAATTGAATTTGATTAAAAATAGAACAATATATTTGCTAGAATTAACAATAATTTTGCTCTAATTGCCTGTGTGTTCTGTCAGTGCTGGTTAATTCCGGCTGGGGCTGTCAGAAATGGAGGAGCCTTTTCACCAAAGCAGAGGTCGCTACGTATTAATAGTTGTTTGCTGTAACAAATTTTAGCTTTTCTTTCAGTGCTGTGTCATGGTCTCCTAATGTTGTGCTCTCTCAGGTGTATGTGAAATGCCTTCTTAATTGTCACCTGTGATGAGTTTGATCAGTCACAGCTGTAGCTCAGCCTCCCCAGCCCAGCCCGAGGAGTACGTGAAGCTGCTTTGGCTGCTGTTGGGCTGTGCTGACTGGGGAGCTGACCTCTCTAAAGAAAACAAAGCAGGGTAAAACCTAGTATTTTTTAATAGCTGTTGATATAATATTGATCATTTATAAATGCTGTTTAGTGTAATCCTTTTTT